ACATGCCACATGTGCACCTTGGCACCTCATCCCTGCCAGCTGGGCTCTGTTGTTTTTGGTCCTGGGCTAGAGTCTGGTGGTGGACTGCCCTGGGATAACTAAGAAAAGAAATTGGCCTGCTGGTCCCCAGTCCCCAGCAGTGACTTGGACCTACAGTAGCTAGAAGGGACTCACAAGATCATCTAGTCCAGCCTTCTGTTCAAGCAGGATTATCCCTGACCAAACCATCCCAGTCAAATATCTGTCTAACCTGCTCTTGAAAATTTCCAAGGATAGAGGGTCCACAACTTCTCTAGGCAGCCTGATTCTATGCTTGCTATCCTACCCTCAAAGAAAGTTCCTTCCAACAAATGTGTGTGAAGCCGGGCACAGTGAAGGTAATGCTCCCTCCTGGTGGCTTGAAGACGTGGATATTATACTTATATTTTATATTATATTGTAGTAATAGCATTAATAAAACCAGTAGAGTATGACTATTAGATTATCAACCTTATATTAGTCTTTTAAATGGGGTGCTGCCAAATTCTGACAATTTAGAGCAGCATCCTTGAGCCTAAAAAGGTTGGGGACCACTGATCTATAGCATGGGAGCAGGGTGTCCTAACAGGTTTGTTCCCAAGTTTCATAGTTTCATAGTTTCATAGTTTCAGGGTCGGAAGGGACCTAATAGATCTTCTAGCCCGCCCCCCCGCCAGGGCGGGAGAACAACCCAAAAACAAACAAACAAACAAACAAAACCACTCCCCCTAAAAACAAAAACGGGACTCAAATGAGTCCAGCCAGGTAAGTATCCAGCCTCTTCTTAAAGATCCCCAGGGTAGGGGCCAGCACCACCTCCCTTGGAAGTTGGTTCCAGCTCCTAGCCGCCCTGACTGTGAAGTAGTTTTTTCGGATGTCCAATCTGTACCTCCTCTCCATCAACTTGTGCCCATTATTCCTTGTTATGCCAGCAGGGGCTAGGGGAAACAGCGTCTCCCCCAAACCCTTCTGGTTCCCCCTAGTGAGTTTATAGACGGTCACCAGGTCCCCCCTCAGCCTTCTCTTGTGGAGGCTGAATAGGTTCAAGTCCCGCAGTCTCTCACTGTAGGGTCTGCCCTGTTGTCCCCGGATCATGCGGGTGGCCCTCCTCTGGACCCTCTCCATGTTGTCCACATCCCTCCTGAAATGGGGCGCACAGAACTGGACACAATACTCCAGCTGCGGCCTGACCAGCGTCGCATAGTGTGCTCCACACTTCAGCTCTTGCTCACACACTCCAAATCCAGACTTGTGTTTTAAGACAGTCCCCTGTAGTCACTCTCAGGACCTCATTCTCTGGTATGCTTGAGAGCTGCAGCTGACCACAACCCTGGAGGAGCTTCACTGGAGTATTTCCAAGTTTGGAGAGTGCAAGCAGGAGTGCATGTGTGGGAAGAAGACCATGTTCAGCAATGGTGACTCTGCCAAGACACACCGTGGAGCTCTACCCTCAAGCATATACCTACTCTCAAAACCTCATGACAGAGTGAAAAGATCTACTCTGCCTCCTACAGGCACACTTGCACTAAATTGGCCTGGCCATCTTCATTTACCTCTGTATAACTCAGAAGTCACTCTACTTAAGTCAGTAAAACCAGTAGTGTAACTGTGGGAGAGTAGACCAGGGCAGCATGCATGAAATCCCACTTTGGGAGGGGCAGGGAGCAAAAGCAGCTGCCACCACAATGACATCTAACCACACCACCACAATCAGCATGCCAGGAGCTGGCATTGCCCTGTACATCAGTGGCTGTCTCCAACACAGACCTGCCCTCCTACAGCTCTGAGTGGAACAACACCAGTTTATAGCACAGTTCTTCTGCTCCAGCTAAGCTTTTCATTTTCTACCTATGAGTAAGTAAAATGATCTCTGTGGTTCCAGGGATCTGGAATTTCAAAGGTAACCACATACACATCCAGCCAATATCCCCTTAGGAAGAAATACCAATGAGCCGTGATAGCAGGAAGGCCAGTTCCGGACATATACATAACAGGGCCAAATCATTAAGGTACACAATTAAGTGCACATGCAGCTCAGGGGCTACCCTCACACATAGGTAGGAAACCAGGTTATCTGCCTGAGATGTACCAAATCACATCTGCTAGACTCCCCCTTGAAAACTTGCCACATGGCTCTAACCTTTACTCTGCACAAAACAATAGAAACATCTCAAAAGCTAAAAAGCTTGACTGAACTCTATTACTCCAGTAGCTTCACTGAAGTCAATGAACTGCTAACTTACACGAGCTGAGGTTCTGGCCCAATGCAGCTGCACCAGTGTAAGACTGGAGTAAAGCTGCTTGGAATCAGTGAGTGCATCTACATGTGCACTTTAATGCATAGTAGACTATTTTACTGTGCATTAAATTGTCACGTAAAAAACCTGTGACATGCTAATACGCAGTAAAATAGTCTACTACACATGAAGCATCACTAAAAAAGCGTGCAAATGAGCTATTGTGCCTAGTGCAGCACAATGTGTATTAATTTAGTACCTCACATTGGAGGTACTAAATTTAATGTGCATTAGAAAAGGTGCATTAATGCACATGTAGACTGGTATGTGAAAAGGAGTAGGAATGAGCATATGCACTGAGGCCAGATCATATTCCCAGAGCAACACTCTTCCCACCTGTGCCTTTCAGCCTGATGGGGGCAGAAATCAGGTTTTTGGAAGATTTACACAATTGTACATCTCTAATATCATTTGTTCAACTGGAACAATAAACAATTTACGCAATCTGTGAGTGCAGCACTTTGCTGTTCTGTGCAGTGCAGGCTGTAATTAAGCACTTAGCTCTAGAGCTTGGCATATTTTTTTGTGTTGTAGTGCTTTGGTTACTCCTCCTTCCCTGCACTGCTTGTCTGCATTTCCAGAGAATCATAGTGTTGGGGGATGTGAGTGCAAGCTTGCAGTTTCTCCCAAGGAGGTACAGAGAAAGGCCCAAGAACTTTTTACATTCATAGGACTGTGTAACTGCTCTACAAACAGCTCCCTGGACCCCATGGCATTTGAGGAACACTGACAATATAAATGTAACTGTAGAAAGGCCTTTACAGTCAGAGGGAAGGTAAGGGCAGGCTGTAGTTCTTTTAAGTATGATGGTGTTGAGAAACTGAATCTTTTCATCTTTTATTCCCTTTCTTCAGATCTTTCTTCCAGCTCTGATGAGCCAAAATGGGTGCTGGGGTAGTTTCTAAATGTGCAGCAGGAAAGCTTCCAGCAATCTGAGATAAAACCTGGATAGCTGAATGAGCATGGGTTGGTCTAAGGTTCTGCCAGCCCCAAAGCATGACTACAGTTATAAACTTGCTTATATGAATACATCTGATTCCTATAGAGGAAGGGGAATAAGGACATCAGTAAAAATCACCTCTGTACTGGTATCACAGTATCCATACAAGGGCTTTTATCAGGATAATTATTTATGTATACAAAAGAATTTGCATCCCTAAGTGAAAGAGTCATACAAAGACTCTTTCCAGTGTTGACTAAGTCAAGACTTCACTCTGTCCTGATCACTCATCTGTCAGCACAGTAAATGCTATGACTTTGCTGCTTCCACAGTGCCTGTTCCACACTGCCCTGAGAGTAAATGAATTATCATCTTTTCACAGGCAGAGAAACTGAGTTATGGAGAGATTAATTGCCAAATTGGTTTATTAATTTTGGGTGCCCAAATTAAAACCTGCTTGCTTTTAATACAGATTTCAGCTGAGGACACAGGTGCTCTCTATAAATCTGGCCTGGATTATGCAAAACTAGCACCCCAAATTAGGAACTATGATGATAGCTTGAGCATAAATGAATTGCCAAGATCACACGGTGAGACAGTGGTAAAGCCCACGAGAAAACCCAGAACCTCTGATTCCCAGTTCAGCTTCCTAATCACAATATAATGCTCCTTTCTGTCAGTCAAGGACTGTAGAAGTCTCCTGTCATTAGAGATTACTAACATGTCAAAATTCAAATCAGGGCAGTTAAATAATGAATTAGAGGGTGGGTAAAGGTCTAGATAGCACTGACATCTCCTTGACCAATAAGTTATGCAAAACCATGCTAGTGTGCCCCATGGGTATTTTGGCTACGTTAACAATGATTGTGAATCTTATTCAGATGATCTGAAAAGGTAAAGAATATGGCCTTCATGAAGATGTTAGTAATAAACTTTCAGCTCAAGCTCCCCATTCAGATACACCCAAGGCTGATACTGACTGAACAGCATTACCATCTGATAGCCTCCTGATGCCCAAAGGCCAGGAAGTTAGTAGCCTCACTGCAGCTCTTAACTGAGATAAAATAAACCTTGACCACAGCTGACACAAGTTGCATGTGCCATTACAAAAGCCAAGAACTGAGTGGGACAGAAACTGAATTATACTTGTTCTGCTAGAAACTGTCCCAACAGGTCAGCAACAAGGCACATTGGCTAAACAGGTACTGCCATTGCTTGCATTATAGTTATTCTGTGGCCAGTGAAAGACTATTCATCTAGGCTTTCCAGCATCTAAATCCACTCTAAATTTAAAATAACTATCCAATCTTTAGGGACAGGACCTAAAAATATATTAGAGATGAAACCAATGATGTCCTACAGAAGTGACTCTAAAAGCCTATAATAGGATACTATGTTTTATGCTATAATAGAAAATGAGATCTTTTTTGTTGTCTTTTTGTTGTATTTGAGAAGCCAAACCTATTGAATCATATATATTGAAGTCTATAGCTTATATGGGAACTGACTTCTTTATCATTTGCATTGGCTTAAATCAGGATTGTGAGACTGAAGTTAAAGCAGTTACATAGGTGTAAATGGGTGAAAAATTGGCCTCCAAATATTTATCACTTAAAGTCAAAACTGGCTACTTAGCTCCAGCTGGCTAGCATATTTAAAACAAGTTGTAGCTAGATGGCACCATTACTTGGTCTAAGATGAACCAGGCAACAATCCAAGGGCAGACCAGCACAGACACAACTCACCTCAGAAATGATCTCCTGTGTCAGGTTCCCACTGTAGAAAGCCGATGCTCCTTCTGCTCCAACCAGGTCCAAAGTGTTTGCCAGGTCTGGTCGCTTCATTAACATCCCAGCCAACAAAGGCTGACCCTCTGGGAGGAAAGTCTCCCTGAACCTGTCAGAGTAGTTCAGCTCCTTCAGTTCAGTAACAGCTCTGGCTGTAGGCAAGAATGGTGACAGCAGTATGACAAGAGGAAGCCACAAAGGACATTCAGCTTTCAAGAACGGGCACTGAGAAGTCCATTTGCAGCCCATGAAATTCTGTTATTTGGTTTCTTGGTATGTGTAATTATTATCCATTGCCCCATATGAAAAATAACAAGCCAGTCAGAGATCGCTGGAGCAACAGGATCACAGTATGATTAATCTCATTGCTATAGCAGGGGTAGGGAACCCCTGGCCCGTGTGCCAGAGCATGGGACATGAAAGTATTTTGCTTGGTACTCAGACTTTGGGAAAGGGGCTGAGGCTGCGCTGCTACAGCAAGAATCAGGCCCCTTGAGGCTCCCTCCCTGTCCACCCCTGGCACACCAACATCTTACAAGTGGAGGTTGCAGGTGTTTTTGGCACTCTGCCCAAAAACATCACCAACCCCTGAACTCATGGGACTCAGACTGGGGGTCAGGATTACAGTGCTGGATCTTCAACAGATTTATTGAATGGCTTTAAGAAAGATGCACAGATCCACATTTTTGTGTGTATTTTTTGTGCACTGCACATGGTACAGAGTGTTTGATGCATGAGCATAAAGGCAAATGCAACTGTGGAAATCTCCTTACGGGACACGAAGCAAGAGACCTACATGCACACTGACAAGCATGAGAAGGTCCATTTTACATGTCAGTGCCCTGGGGGCAGATTGGCTGTAGAGGATTCCCCTGCTCTCCATCCACCAGGAGGTCTGCTTTCACTCTCTGCTGCTCAGCCCTCCTTTGTTTTCTAAACCAATGTATTTCCCAGGCTGAAGAACACTAAGTTCCAGTAAATTAACCCACTTCCCCCTTCCAAATACACAAATGTAGTCCCCTTCTCCTTTGACATATGCAGAAGCCCACTGCAGCATTATAGCAGTTACCTAAATCATGTGTGACATTGAATCCATTCTGGGCAATGCCTGCAGCAAGTCCCAGCAGTTCTGACCAAGAGAGTCTGGCAAAGAAGAAAACAAGGAGAAATCTGCATTCAAAATGTAGCAAAGTAAATGCAGAACTGTCTTTGGGGCAGCTCTACTGGAGCTACCACAGGGGTAGAGTCAGAAACTGCTTTATTGGAAATTTCTTTTGTGATGATCAGAAAACAGAACTGTTTTCTGATCATCACAAGCAGAAAGATCATCAGAGCAGAAAGTCCTAAGTTCAGATTTTACATTGGACATCAACTGCATCTGCAGCTGTGGACAAATCATTTAACCCATCTCCACCAGAGTTCCCTTTATACCACTGGAGTAATAATTGCCATCTACTGCACAAGGGGGTTGTGAAGCTTCAGTAGCAGAGCTGATTGGAAATGCTGCACACTTCCATCAGTATGTGTTTGTTTTGTTTGAATTTTTTGAAGATTTTTTTTTGGCGGGGGGGGGGCAGAAGGAGCAGGAATCAGAACCCATTTTGTAAAATGAAATGTTTCTGTTTCATATCCATGAACATGTTCTCCTATTCTTGCAGGAAAAAAATCAAGAAAGGAAGGAGGACAAACATGGGCAGATCTAGGATTTTGAAAAGGGGGAGTAGTACATCATCATATATAAACAAAACACATATTTTTCTCCAGTTAAAGAGAAACTACAAGCTTTACTAATATGCTAGGGGCCCAGTACTACATTATTCATTTTAAGATCAAAGCAAAAACAAATATGACTTACTGGAATACATACTAATTTTCTAGCTTATATATTACATTAAAAAAACATAACAAACTAAGTAAAAATTGTTCAAAGACACCGTTCTACTAATTCACTTATTCAGATCCACCGTTTCACTAATTTATTTATTCAGATCCACAAAACAAAAGCTAGCCTTCTTAAGCATCTTGACGCTACATCCAACACTTCACTGTCAATCATTTAATTTTTTTAACGCATTAATAGCGCATGTGGTTTTGGAGCCTGTGCCTGGGCTGCCCTGCCCTGCTGCCATCACCCCCGGGCACCCAGCGAGAAGCTGTGGCAGTGCAGAGCCATAGGGCAGCCCAGGCACGAGCTCTGGGCAGCTGCAGCAGGAAGGGAAGTGGGGGGGGCGCACTCATAACCCCCATCAAGGGCCCCAAGCAGCCGAGCTGGCAGTGCCAGGGTTTCAGGGAAGGCAGCACTGAGCCGTGGCAGGGCTGTTCGGCATTCTCAGGCCTGGGACCCACTGAGCAAAATAAGTGGGGAAGTTCAGGCCAGGGCCAGAGTTGGGGCCTGAGTAGCTGCCCCCAGCCCGGGCTGCCTATGGCTGCTGCTGCTGGGGCAAGGGCAGGATGAGGCCACCACCACCAGGACTGTGCTTGGATGCCAGTCATGCCCCGGGCCTAAGGCAGATCTGACAGGACAACGATCAGATTGGGCATCCTGCCAGGGCGTGCGAGCGTTCCCCGTCCCCGGACTCCAGATCCCCCTGCAGGCAATCCCCCCCACCCCCACCTTCAAACCCTGCACACACATCCACAGACCCCCGCACACACACCCCAACCCCCCAATCATACAAAGTATCTGAATAATTTTGCAAAATTTTGAGGTTTTCTGTGCATAATTTTTTAGTTTTTATCTGCCAAATTAAAATTGTGATTAATTGCAACTAATTTTTTTAATGGTGCAAATAATTACGATCAAATTTTTTAAATTGTTTGACAGTCCTAGTATTAATATTACCACACCTGGGTTAAGGTTTTTCGCTAGAACTAAAAACAAAAAAGTTTGTAAGGCTGTAAAACTGAAGAGACATTAGCAGGAATAGCTAACAGATGGCAAAATTGCAGAAGAAAGGCTAACTTGATTTATGGAACATAAAGACTATTTATTAAAAAGGAGAGAGGGTTGTTAATATCCATGGAGTGAAGAGATTAGCAGGGATCAAATTGGTTATATTGAGCCATGAAATCAATTGACTCCCGCAGCACTGCCTGACAAGAAATGCTGCTACCTCTCCTAGTCAGTTGGTTTTAAAGTTTGAGTGGAGGGAGAATCAAAAAGAGGGTGCAACTGCACCACTGCACCCCCCTTGATCCTGCCCTAGAGACAAGGGAGAGATGGAGGGAACTTCATGCTTTTCAATCTTTCTTTTTTTATTTCTTTGTTAACATCTCAAAAATTGCCAAGCAAAATGAATTTTTTTGTTCAATTAAAAAAAAGGACATTTCTGATATTCTTTTCAACTAGTTCTTATTAAGTTTGATTTGTAATTAGTTTCTGGTCCGCTTCTCAGAGAACCTGAATACTCACTACCCCCAGAATAAAAAGTGTTCTTCACTTCTGCAAATTAGGCTATAATCATACAACTGCACACAATCATAATAACTGCCCACACAAATTAACCAACATTGGCTGAATGTGTGCAATACTGGAAACCCCAACTACTGGCTGTAACATGCTTTCAGAACAGTGCTGAATACTGAAAAAAGTGACCTGAATAACATATTCCAAGGGAAAGTGAACTGATGGCACATCCAAGACTAATGAGACAGACTTGGGACAGCATTTGAAGTTGCTTTGCCAATAAGATCCTCTTCCCATTGGACCCTTACTGACACCAAATCTGCCAATGACTCATGTAGTAGAGTGCAAGTCGCTGATGAATGGGATTAAACAGGCATTTAACCTGCAGCACCTTTCAGTAGGATACACTCCACAAAGTAGCAATGTGTATGAAATAGTCTTACCTCCCATATAACTGGTGGGCCTTATGCATCCCTTGTATCATTCCTGGCACCCCCACCAGCAGACCCACCTGCACAAAAGGAAGGACAAGAAAGAATAACATCTCCCTGTGGACATATTTTCCAACTTGGAATCAAAACAACCACCATAAAAAGATGCCATTCATTTTCATACAGCATGTTTTCCATGGGAAGGGAAAGCGGCTGAAGATACTAGGAATAGGGTAGATATAAGGGTTGGTGGTGACAGACTCAACTGAAGAGGAAAAGCCTTTGGGTGGGGAAAAAGGAAAAAAATTAATCCTGTAATAACTCTAATAAAGTCATACAGCCCAATGACACCTAGCTTTTGCCATTTATCTATTGCTTCTATCCTTCCATATTCCCTTATCCCCAAATATGACTCAGTTTATTTGTTTCGAGTAAGACTTAGTGGCCCAAGGAATTCCTAAGCTGCACTGGAGCTTTTCTCCTCTGGCTCAGGTTACTTGTGACTGAAATTCTCACCATATGAACAGTGTCCTGTGGCCTATATAAAATAAGTGAGTAAGTTTCCATTCAGCTACTTGTGGACAAAAAAGCTATACAGGGATCTTGTTTTTCTCTGTTTAAAAATACCAAATTCTCCAATAAAAAAATCACTCATTTTCTGATTAAAAACCCCCAAATCCATGGTTTTCCATGATTAAAATTAAATGCCGCTATATATATAGGTATCAGTTGAACACAATGTTTTATTGATATATTTACAATTTTAAAGCAATTTGGAAGCCTACCAGTGCCTCAATCATTATAATAAAATAAATTCTAAATACCTATCTATTTTGGCATTTGATTTTGGGGTTTTTTATCATAGAAAATCAGAGCTCCCTCTGCTCCCTTCACTCACCAGGACATGGGTACAGCTGTGGCTGCCCTCCCCTTCTGCTTTGTGATGCTGAGCAGCCCAGATATGCCGGTGCCCTGCCCATGCTGTTGCCCTTCACTCCCAACCCACAACCTGCCCAGTACTGCTGGTGCCCTTCACTCCTGACTCTCAGTCCCCTGCACTCCCCAGCCATGCCAGTGCCCCTCACTCCCACCCCACAGTCCTCTGCCCTCCCTAACCCCGTGCCCCTCACTCCCAACCCGCAGCCCCTTGGCCCTGCTGTGGCCCCTCACTCCTGACCCAGAGCCCCCTGCCCTCCCCAGCCCTGCTGGAGGGGGGCTCCAGCTGTCTCCCACCCATCCAGCCCTGCACAGGCTCACAGGATGGTGGTCTGCAGCAACACGGTAGGGATGGCCTCCAACATGAGGTATATACAGCGCACCTCATGTGGAAACATAGGCAGTGGCTGGGGCTCCACATGTTGCCCCGCACCACCGGCTGGGGCTGGAGCTGGGGCTGGGGCTGGGGCTACAGCACAGCAGGGAGGACCAGCGCCATGCTTCACATCAGCAGCACAAAGCAGAGTGCAGCTCTGGCCCAGGCCATGCTGCAGGCAACAAGAGGAGGGCAAGGAGCTCCAGGCAGTCTCTGTCCTGTCCAGGCTGTAGAGCAGTGGCTGCAGCAGCGTTGGCTCACGCAGGAGGCAGCAGAGAGAATCCAGCCCCAGCACGGGCTGGAGGAAGGAAAAGGAGATGCCTTTGGCACAAGCCCCTCCCCCACCCCAGAGCTAAGGCTCCTGCACTGTGCCAGGCAGTCTGGCCACAGCCCCACCCTCTCAGCCCCCAAGCAGCATCTCCTGGCCACCCTGCCTCTGCTCCTCAGAGCACAGGCACCAGCCCCAGTCACTGGCCCAGCCAAGCAGCTCCCCACCACCCTCAAAGGACCACTCCCCATCCCCTTCCCCTGCTGGATGGGCAAGCACCTCTGGGCGGCTCTCGCTGGCAACAGCACAGAGCTGGGCTCACCAGTGGCACCGAGCAGTGCTTCAGCCCCCCTACACCACCGTAGGCCCAGCACATGCACACCTTCCCCCAATGTCACCAAACACCTGCCCCACCCCTACACACCCATCCCCTCCACACACCCTGCCACACACACATGCATAAGGCCCCTAACCCTAAGCAGCTCCTTGCAGGCTGGAAACCTGTCAGTCTGCAAGGGGCAACCCATGGTTTCCTGTGGTTTTCTCCTTTAAAGGAAAAAATCCGTGTTTTTCTGCAGCAAATGGAAAATCTGGATCCCTGGTCATAAATCACCCCGCTTTGTTGGCAATTTCAGCAGAGAGGTGAAGGCCCTACTAAGCCACTCAGACTGAATGCCCCACTCTGCCCAGGATCACTCTACTGCAGGATTGAAGAGCCAGTCTGAGGCTGAGGAAGCCTGCCCTGTGTTTGTTCCTGTTCTATGAGGAAGTGATTGGTAACTTAAGGCTCCAGGACTGAACAGCCAGCACCTTGACCAGAGCTAACTTCCCTCAGAATATGAGGTATCCTTGCTGCTCACAGTACATGTGATTTCAGACAATCAGAGTGAGGAGGAAATGGAAGGAGAAGAAACTGAGACCAATGAACGCACAAACAAAAACCCTGCAATATAGAGCTCTGTCTCACCTTTGCCTCCGAGGCCTTCCGAAGGACCTCCTCCTGGATCTCAAAGGGTGCCGTCTCTCGGAAATCAATCACTTGGCTCTCGTTCTTTCGGATGTCATGAACCAGCATCACTCCCCCACTGCAAGAAGAACACGATGCGTGCACTGCATATTGGGCATTTCTCCTCTGGCTCAGGTCTGTAGTGACTGAAATTCTCACCATGTGAGCAGTGCGCGGAGCACCTTGCTGTCCACACAGATCTTTGTTACTTTACAGGCCACACTGCAATCATCATTAGGTCCCATGGCCCCGAGGCTAGTTGAGGGCAGTAGCTATGGATCAAACAGCCCCATCTCCGTTCCATCCTCATTTTTGGTCACCTATGCAAGGCTTCACAGCCCTCAAAGGTTCTGTACCCTGGTGCTTGAAAAATGGAATCCTTCTACACCACAGTCCTTCTCTCAGGAAGTCTCTCTGACCTAACTGCTGATTCTCCGGCCACAGTCAAATGTTTACTCTTATCAAGCCCATGAAACGAGGCATACACCTAATGGAAGGGAGGGGCCATCACCAAGGAGGACTATACCTCCATTGCTCAAGACTGTAGCAGGGCTGTTAGGAAGGCTAAGGCAGAGAGGGAACTGGGACAAGCGACCCAGATCAAGGATAACAAGAAGTCCTTTTTTAAATATATAGGGGGTAAAAAGAAGGTACTGGGTAACGTAGGGCCTCTGCAGGACACGCTAGGAAATCTGGGGGTTACATCAGATGACAAAGCTAAACTCTTTAACAATTTCTTTGCCTCCATTTTTTTGAGCAGGGACTGGGGCATCCCCCCCACCGGGATCCCTGACAGACCCAGGGGAGGTGCAGCCAGACCCGGGGTCAGTGAGGACCTAGTCAGGGAACTTTTGGAGGGACTAGACATGTTCAAATCAGCAGATCCTGATGATCTCCACCCAGGGTGCTGAGGGAATTAGCAGAGGTCATTGTGGGACCCCTGGCACAGCTTTACGAGCACTCCTCTGGTGCTCTGGCGAGGTGCTGGAGGACTGGAAAAGGGCCAATGTGGTCCCCATTTTCAAAAAAGGGAGGAAGGAGGACCCAGGAAACTACAGGCCTGTTAGTCTCACCTCAGTCCTAGGGAAGCTCTTTGAGAAAATTATCAAGGAACACATCTGCAAGGGACCAGCAGGGGGGATCATGCTTAGGGGCAACCAACATGGGTTCATTAGAGACAGGTCCTGTCAAACCAACCTGGTGGCCTTCTACGACCAGGTCACAAAAGCCTTGGACACAGGTGTCGCGGTGGACGTAGTCTTTCTGGACTTTAGGAAGGCCTTCGACACTGTCTCACCCCAATCTCATTAAGAAATTAGGCAACTGTGACGTCGATGCCTACACGGTCAGATGGGTTGCAAATTGGCTGGAGGGCTGCACCCAGAGAGTGGTGGTGGATGGGTCTTTTTAGACCTGAAGGGATGTGGGCATTGGGTCCCCCAGGGCTCGGTCCTTGGGCCCACACTGTTCAACATCTTCATCAGCGACTTGGACGAGGGGGTGAAAAGCAACTTGTTCAATTTCACGGATGACACTAAGATGTGGGGAGAAGTGGGTACGCTGGAGGAGAGGGACAGGTTGCAACTAGATCTGGACAGGTTACAGGGGTGGTCGGATGAGAACAGGATGGGTTTCAATACTGACAAGTGCAAGGTATTGCACCTGGGGAGGAAGAACCAGCAGCATACCTACAAGCTGGGGAACTCCCTTCTCATCAGCACAGAGGCCAAAAAGGATCTTGGTGTCATTACTGATTCCAAAATGAACATGGGCCGCCAATGTGGGGACGCAGTCAGGAAGGCTAAACGCACCTGATGCATCACAAGCAGGTCCAAGGAGGTGGTCCTCCCCCTCTATGCGACATTGGTCAGGCCGCAGTTGGAGTACTGTGTCCAGTTCTGGGTGCCGCACATCAGGAGGGATGTGGCCAGCATAGAGAGGGTCCAGAGGAGGGCCACTCGTGTGGTCAGGCGGCAGAAGGGCAGACCCTTCGAGGAGAGACTATAGTACCTGAACCTGTTCAGCTTCAAGAGAAGGCTGAGAGAGGATCTGGTGGCTGTCTACACAGTGGCCAAGGGGGACCATCAGGCTATGGGAGAGTCCCTGTTCCCCCGAGCACTACTGGGAATAACAAGGAACAATGGCCATAAGCTGACTGAGAGTAGATTCAGGCTAGATATCAGGAAGCACTACTTCACAGTCAGGGCAGCTAGGATCTGGAACCAACTTCCAAGGGAAGTGGTGCTCACTCCTACCCTGGGGGTCTTCAAAAGGAGACTGGGGTTGTTTGACTCCAGCATTCTTTTCTGCCCATGGCAGGGGGTCAGACTTGATGATATACTTAGGTCCCTTCCAACCCTACCAACTATGAAACCAATAAAGTCAGGGGAAAGTCACCTGGAGTCTGTTCAGGTGGATGCATGCAACGTAACCTAAACTGTCAGCTGATGCCAATGTCTGAGTCTGTACTATCAGCAATAGTGTAAGAGGTACAAGGAGTTTGGTCAAAGTGTCAGATGCCAGGAAACAGAAAGGAAAAAATCAACCTGGGATTTGTAAACTGAACTCAGTTGATCTATAAGAGAACACAAGCCAAAGCCCTGCACCCAAACCTCCAAGACCTTTTGGAGGTGGGGGTATTTGAATCTACATCATAGCCCAAATATTGCAAATGCCTCAGTATTTAAAATGAGCAAGAGCCAGACGCCTTGACTTGAACAATAGACTGGTTCAAACTCAGACTTAAACACTGCTGTTTGAGCCTGTTTCTAACTTGTTTTGGAATCTGTATGAATTATGATGAACCTCATTTGTTTCCAGTGGTATATTCCTATGTGGTCAGTTCTCTACCACACAAAGCCATCCCTCTTCAAGAGTGTAACAGAACAACCAAGTAAGTCTACAGTGTCTTTTTCAGAACACCAGGCAGAAGGGCAGTTTGGGGTTCAGACTCTGGTCTAGGATTGCAAAAACCTCCACTCAATTCCTAGCTAAGTCACTGATTTCTAGTGCAACACTGGATATACCACCAGATCTCCCTGTGCCTATAAAATGGGGATAATACTTCTTTTCTCGCTCCTTTGCCTCTCCTTTCTCCTCCCATATCTGTGTATATACCATCTAACACAACAGGAGTCTTCGGACCCTATGGCAATACAAATAATGAGGCAACTCCTCTTGAGAACAGTTCTCACAGGAACTTCTCTGACAATGGATTTTACCAGGATTCTTTGGTTGTACCCTCCCTTTACAATATATGTTTCATAACTGTTTGTGACGTGTGCATGTCAGGTCCAGCAGAAAATTATTTACTTGGAACTCTACCATGTCCAGGCTCCAAAATACATATTTGTTTATTAAATAAACATTTGTTCCAGAATAGTTTTATGCTATTGTAGGTAAATTATTGCTTCTGAGTGTTCAAAGCAGCTGTCATACGAATCATTTAATAATTAGTGGCACCCTACCCTCTTGCTCTTGCACAAGTGCTTAGAAGGCCCATGCCTTCTAAAGGACTTTCTAGGATGCATTATAGTGCATTACAATAGAAGATGCTCATCCAAAAGCATAATGCATAAACTCATCTAGGGAATCAAAGGGGGGAGGTGTGATACATTGGTGAGGAAGGCAATGAATTTGGGAGCAGCTGCACTAGAAAAAATGTTTTTGGTATAAAAAAGGTTGAAGATTTTCCACTTTAAAATGAAGTTATTTGTTATTGTTGATTCATATGTATAGAAATTCTAAGGCCAGGAAGGCTGGTTGTGACTATGTAGCAGGTCTGGCCTGGTTGGTGTCCTGCATAATACAAGCTACAAATTCCACAAAGCAAGTCTTGCACTAAGTCCCAACAAGATCAACGGCCAAAGTGGACTAGCCTGATTAAGGCATGCCTGTTCCTGTAGCCAATGGAACAAAATGGAGGGCGGTGGCTGCCTCTGGAAGAACTTCTGGATAACATCTTTTATTGCAACGCTTTCTAGTATACTGTAGAATGTCTGTTAGGATATGTGGCTGCTACGCACTCCCCAAGTATTCAATTATACCTGAGTCAACTTAAAATCATGCCTCTGGAACTATATCAAGACCACTTAACCATTCTGCTATCACAATCCCATCAAACCATGGGGCTTGTGGGTAAGTTTGTGTGTATTGTTTGAAAAGACTTCAAGTGATGGAGAACCTAGCACACCCCTTGGCATTTTGCTCCAATAGTTCATTATACTCCCAGTTAACAACGGGCCCTTGTTACCAATTTGTACTTGATCGCTTTATGCCTTGTGATGCAACTCGTGTACATTATCTGTCCTAAAGAGCTCACAAACTAAGGCCTTCTCTCTGCAACCTGAATGTTAATGATACTTAATCACACAAAAGTCCCATGAACACAGTGGGTCAACTGAGTTGTTACACAGTACTATAGCATAATTGGAGTAGTGGAACAGGATCCTAATTTAAGAGAATAATAAACAAGAGCTGACAAACCACAAGAATTTGTTTCCAGGCATGGGGTTGTAATCCGAGATCCCCAGCTCAAATCTAAAAATCCCCAGAAGAGAGGTGGATTGGGGGCATGTCAGTGGCTGGGTTACAGTGCAGTACAGTTACACTCTGTCTCCCAGAGACTGTCAGCAGCCATGGGAACCAGGACATAAATTAGAACAGCCTTGAGACAGCTCTCTTTTATACCAGCAGTTGTGCTCCAAAGGGACTGGGAATGAGGATCCTAGGGCAGATTCATCTCTAAAGAACATAACAACTGATATCTAACTAGTCTATAATTAACCTATATTAAGACCTACATTAGTTTTACTATAGGCAATAGAAAAACTCTGGCTGATTTCAATGGAAGCAAGGGCAGACCCTGTAATTCAAAGCATTACATGTCTATCCTTTCATGACTCTTCTGTTCATGTAAGCTGATGCTGTTAATAAGGCTAGCGCAGCTCCCTCCAAGTGCTCCTCCTCCTCCATGTCCCAAAACAACAAATAATGAGAGCATTTTCATGATTATATAACCTGCAGCCTGAGCTAGATAACCTTGAGCTGCAACACCTACCACAGAGGAGGAGGCATACACTGTAAAGTACCAAAATAAATAAATCTTTATTTATGGGGCCACCAGAGAAGATTAAGCATAACTCTAGCAGAGTTCAGGAAAATAAAGGAGCGGTATAGAAGTTGGGAAAGACTTAAACTACCAGCAAGTATTTAGGATATGACTGTCAGTTACCTCATTCATGAGCATGGGGCAGAGATGGACAGGGCAAGGGTAAGGTGGCTGTCCCTGGGCACTGACAGACAGAAAAAACAAACAAACAAAACCCCCATGTGCTCTACCAGAAACAGCGGCACGTTACTTCAACCCAGCTCCATAGCATCTGTATAGATCAGGCACTTCTGTGGGCCTTTTTGGCACTTTTAGCTAAAGTAGATTCAATCAGCTTTAGATAAAAGCACCAGAAAAGCCCCACTAAAGTGCCCAATTTCTACAGGCACTAGGAAAGCTGGGTGCAACTAAAGTGTTGTCTGTTGGCATGTGTTGGGCTCAGCGAGGGAGCACATTGAATTTAATGTAAAGCATCATTTTGGGGTTTTTTTCCACATCTGCAAGCAGCCCCTGTCCTTAGCATTCATAGTCCAGGTATATACAGGCTCCAGCCTGGCCCCAATGTAATTTAGAGCAGCTTCAGGGCTGTTGTACTTCCCATAGTTGCCTATGGACTCTGAGAAGCAGACAGTAACTACAGCGTACTGTAATTCCTCTAACATGCCGTCACTTTGCCTTCCACCCTGGGAGCTGAGAGCAGCATTGGCAGAGACCCCCATGTCACTTCTCAACTCCCAGAAACGGCTTTCTGCTCAGGAGGAGCCATTCTTAGGGAGATAATTCTCCCAACTTGAAGAACTTCAGGTTCCAGGGCATCATTAGGGAGCCCTCAGTGCAAAGGAGAATCAGACCCATGGTGTGCTTATCTGCTTAAAATGCAATTGTTCACCTGATATTTTAATCCTTGATTGGAGTTAACAGTTGAGCTCTGTGCCTCAGAAGACTTGAGTAGATAATACAGTTCTTAAATCCCTTTCCAGCTAGCCTGTTCATGTGCAAGTCATTTCTCTTTATTTTGTTTCTTGTTTTTGAGCAAGGATGTGTTAGGCTTTGCAATCAAACAGGTTTCCACTTACAGCTTCTCCAAACTGCCTTGATGAGACATTATCAAGTGACAGCATTTATGTAATGTTACCTGGGATTTCCTGGCACCCCGTTGGGCTGAAAGTTCAGGTTTCACTTGCATAACATTTTTCAAAACAAACACCACAAAGAGGTAGCAGCTCCAGGCAAAGGAGAAAGTAAGAAGGATTTCTGGGGGTCCAGAAGAGTGTAAGTAGCACCCTTCTCTTGTTTGACCATTTGGGGGTCCCTAAGGCCTGCTAAGAGCTAATTTGGCCTGCTGTGAGCTGAGGTTGCACATATTAAAGCTGCTACTGCTGTTACATAAGGGATGTAATTTACAGGTAAAAAAAATCTTACTCCACTCTTTAACACACTAGGCCAAATTCTGCGGTGCATCTGAGATCACTCAGCACATTTGGGACAGAGGAATAATTAGATTCTCACTGTTTGCTTCTCATATCTAGGGACCATGTTAACCATGATGTAAGCTAGAGCAGCATGATAAGGACTGTTCTCTTGGTATCAGAACTCTACAGGGCAGCACTCTCCTGGTAAACCTTTGTCTGCAACCAGCCCAGTGGAAAGCAACCATAGAAATGGAGAACTACAATTATGATAATGATTTGGGGGCCACAGCTGCCTGACCACCAGTCCTCAGCATAATCATTCAAACTGCCTCTGGTAGAGAGGTCCAGAGTAGGGATGGGGGCATGGGAGGCTAATGTCACCCTCAGTCTTGCTCAGGCCTTGTGTTGAGGGAAAGCCAAAAGCAAGACTGTGAGCAGGTTTTGTTCGAAGGCAAGAGACCCAAAGCTGAATGATCACAAACCAAGGCAGTGTCTCCCCTAACCCTCTCAGGGAAAGGCACTGAGCCCAGGGTAGCGCATACAGAGAAACTTCCAGCCAAACTGCAGAGCTTTGTGCCACAAACCAGGCCAGCCTCCTAGCCTAAGGTCCAGGCCTGCTGCACTGCAGTCTTGGGCCTAACATTCTGCCTGTGCCCCAGACCTAGTGCCTTCCCTGTGCAACTGTTCTAAAAGCATGTGACCCCTTAGGACCCTCCACAACTAGCAGACAGTCCCCATATGGGTCAGTGGGCTCACAGAGCTGAAGCGGACATACTGATGCTGAGGAGAGGGGATCTATACTAAGCCCAGAGCAGGAATTGTTTCTAGACTGGTCCCATTATGGGATCCAATAGCCAGCAACCTGGGAGCTGGAATGGCTGCTGAACACAACCTGTGATACTCTCACACCCAGCACCCTGACTAGCAGCCCTGTAAAGATGGGCAGACCCTGCAAGCTGACAGGACAACAACCAATTTGCACCTACCCGCCAATACCTGACGTGTGAGGGTTGATTATCCCTGCACACAGGGCTGAAGCAATAGCTGCATCCACCGACGACCCCTGCTTGTTGAGCACTTCAATCCCCAGAGCTGTGCAGGGAACAGCATCAGTGACCACAGCACCCTGGTGGAATATCTAGAAAAAGCAAGGAGTTAAGAGAAAGAGTCAGTTTCCGTCTGCTGAAAGAAGGAGGGTTTCCCATGCTCACAGTCAAGCACAGGGGAGGCCCTGATCTGGGGCCCACCGTGAACCAGGGTAGTGGCAGACAGTTTGTCTCTGTGTGCCATTCAAGGTGTCGGGTTTGATTTATGTGTTGCTAAGCAGATGGATTCTTGGCTGCCCAGCTCCTCATGCCGGAGCAGAGACTGTGCTTGGCTGGTGTTCCTCTCAGACAGAACGCCTCCAGTCACTAGTGCTGGTGAAATGCCCCTGGCACATACCTGGTGCTGCAACAGCTGCTAAAGCCATGCTGCAGCCATAAGGCATCACAGCCTGGTCACAATTGTTATCAGCACAGGACTCAGACCAGCTGTCTCTGCTCCCTTCATGCCCATACTCCACATTTGCAAAATCCCTTAAAGGCCTTTATAAAGGCAGAACAAAAGTTGATGCCACAAGCAGCCCCATCAACTTGGTTCCTAATCATCCCAGTCACTTTAAGTGCAATCTCTGGAATAGAGCCCTCACTGCTCCCCCACATGTACAGATATCCTGTTGCAGCAGGGCTGTGCCATTCCTCAAGAATGACCAGGAAAAGGCTTTGTTTGTACTCTGTTCAGCATCTAGGGACTATATAATTATACAGTCAGGTAGTATACCTATTGTAAATTAATGCATTTTTGACATTGACAAGAGGACAAATCACTGAAGAAGCAAAGATGCGTTTTTCCAATTCTAGGACCTATCCCAGGATTCTCCTGACACTTACCCTGACTTCCTTTCCCTGTTGGCAATAACAAAAAAGGCAGGATGGTCACAACCTGTGGAAACTGGCTTAAGCCCCTTCTACCCTCTGACCATCCACCTCCCTTTACATTACATTCCAGCACCTAAATAGATGTGAGTAGATGTTCTGAAATATATTTTGTCAAAAGTACAAAGTTTTAGTGGGATGGGAGCTCCCTACAGAGCTCCCTCTGTTGTCAAACCTTTGCAAAGAATTAACAAGAGACTGCAGGTTCAGTGTGCGTGAAATCTGTGAGAAATTGGAAGGAACAGCAAGAAATTCCATGGGTCTAAGAATATTCTGCACAAATAATGGGCACAAAATATACAGATCAGCAACATCTGTTCATTTCATATTGTGCTTATCAGAAAAGAGTCCATTTAACAAATAAAAGATATCAGATTTACCTAAAGAAACTTGTCTGTCCGTTTAACAAAGGCACCTTCTTACTTAATAACCGAACTGCTTTCTGCCTGTGTCAAAGTTCTGCTGTTTACATCTGCTAGGACCACCAGTCTATGTAGGGAAGAATGAGCTGGATACTGTTTTCTCTCATCATCAACACAACTTCTCAGCTACTTCTGGTTGCAAAGCATTCTGTCCCCAGGCATGATGCAGAAGTAGAGCAAACCCATGTGGACTCTGAGAGCTCACAGGGTGGGTGTGACACTGGCTGTTAGAAACACCAGCTTGTGCCAGTGGAACCACTGAGTGAGAATCAGAATGGAGCTTTTTCATATTAATTTTCTAGCCGCTTTTTGGACCTCACCACCACTTGGATGCTTTATTAAATGTTAAGGATGAAGGGGGTGAGGGGGCTGTAGTTCTCAGCAGGGAATTCTTCCCTCTTCCAGACTATCATAATTTTAAAAAATAATCAAACAACTCATCATACCTGAGGGTCCCCGAAATAGATTTGCATGATCAGGGCCACCGTGACCCCTGTAGCAAAAGTCAAGCAGGCAGTAATGATAACAGTCAGCCCATCTTGACGGCAGCTGCAGTCCCCTGAGAATGGGTCCTTGCTAGTTTCTCGAAGGGGGGAGACATCCTGACTGCCCATTTCTGATGAAGACGAAGGCAGGCGCTGAAGGCGAGCCGATTTCAGGAAGGAGTCTGGATCTTCATGGGCAGGAGGGAGAGGGAACAAGTGTTAGATATTAAACAAACTTGGGCTTTTATTTCAATGCACACACTGCACTATAATTATATCTGTCCCAGTTCCAGCAAAGCTATTCGCTTTCCTAAGCTTTCAGTAGATTTTTTTGGCTCAAATACTGCTGAGAGTCATTTTACTCCTACCTTTCTTTAACCCTTTTTATTCTCTAGGGCAGTGATTCTCAACCAATGCCATGAGAACCTTTGACAGATGCCAAGGGAAGTGTGAGAAGATAAGCAGATGAGACTTATCTGCCTTATCTGCTGCAGGCTCCAGGTGTGAGGAGAAAAGCAAATAAGGGCAGATTCAGCCTCTCTCTGCCTGGCTGCTCCCCAACCCTCATCACCCATCACCTCTGCAAAAAGTTAAGTGCTGTAATAAATTAGATTCTGAAAATGAGGTGCCACCCAATTCACAAAAGTTATGGAGGTGTGTCTTGAGTCTGACAAGGGGTGCCTTGAGTTTTAAAAAGTTGAGAAACACTGCTCTAGGAGAAAGTCCAAAAGGCTGACTAGTAACTTGTATGAATTTTGCTTGATATTGCAGATGGACCCAGGGCACCAAAATCTTCAACAGCAAACCCACAATGGCTATCTTGCTTGGATTACACAGAATCTATTTGTATGCAGGTCTCAGAAACAAGAGACATCACAGTTCAGTCCAAAGTCCGTTGCCCATGATTAGGGAGCTGCACTTAGGAGAAATCAACTCAGAAAATAGATCCAAATCAAAATATGAGGCACTAACACAAGAATTACTAGGAATAAAGAATGGAAAGGCGGTAGTAGAGAGAATAGGAAACATCTATACACATTAGCAATTCACAGCACTCAGCTAAACCTAAAATAATTCAGCAGGCATGAAGACTTCTTCACTATCTCACCATGTAAGGCTTTAGAGCAGTGACTCTCAATCAGGGTGCCACAGCACTCTGGGAGGGTTGTGTGATCCCTTTAAGGGAGCCTCGATGTGTCATGCAATATTAGCACTGCGTGGTATGGAAACACCCACATGATTCACAAGAAACTCAAGGATTTCAATAAAGGAATCCACAGCGTCAAAAACATTCTGACCTGTTGTGGTCTTTCTGAGTTCTCTGCAACAGAATAATTATTCTGTTTTTCCAAAGTCAAAAAACAATTAAAGCTAATAGTCAGCATTTTCCAAGGGATACCTTGAGTATAACAAAGTCTGCCTTGAGTCTAAAAAGGTTGAGAACCATTGCTTTAGACCAAAGTTTTCAGACATACGACCTGCAGGCCATACCCAGTCCGTGGATCTCTATGATCTGACCCATGGGTCTTAGAACAACCTCATGCAGCATGCACTGGCCTCACCCTTGTGTATTTTATGTGGTGCCCATGGCGAACTGACCCTGCATACTTGCTCTGAGGCTGAATGTGGCCCACAGACTGCTGCTGCACTCTGAAGCCAGCATGCAGGGCTGGCTAGCACAGGCTTTGCATGCAGCATACACTGGGTCTAGTCCCATGTGCTGTCTGCAACATGTGCCAGCCTCTGCCTAAGGCTTGCACTGCACGGATGAGTTTGACACGTCTGCTTTAGCTTGATAAGAACAGCTGCAAAAGCAGGTAACTCAACAGACCTACAATGTCAGAAGTGCTAAATGCAACACAACAAATTCCTGATTTCCCAAGTTTTAATGGGGAGGAAAAGGCCACAACAGAAAACAAAGTGCACTTCAGGTCTCAGGGGTTTAGGTTGTAGCCATGTTGGTCTAGGGACATAGGCAGACAAGGTTCCTTGGGTGAATTTGATATCTTTTATTAGACCAACCCAAATAGTTGGAGAATATTTATTAAGCAAGCTTTCGGGTTCAAAAACCCTTCGTCAGGCTAAGGAAGTTTCAGAAGTTGGTGTGTGCTCTTCCACCCAAGGAACCTTGTCTGCCTTCAGGTCTAAGTGACTTTAACGCATATTTATTATTAAATGGTCTCCAAGTCTATACTTGCTTCAGCTGATTTTTTAATGCAGTTTTGGATTAAGAGATGGGTTTGCAGATAGAGCATTAGTTGCCATTAATGGCCACCTGGGTTATGAACCCAAATCAACTGCAGCTTATATCCTACTTTATATAATACAAAGAAATTTATAATCACACCAGTTGTCACCAAACTTCTGTGGTCAAATACACTCCAGTTGGCTCAGACAACATCATACAACCAAAGAAAATTTTACACAGTTCTGAGGTTGTTTCCAGTGTTTACTGCTTAGTCATCATTGGCTCCTTATTTTTCACTGGGGACCAACCAGTCATTGGCTGGATCATGAGACAGGAACCTATCATGCCCAACTTAATTGTCTTTGGTCATTGAAGGAGCAGGCCTTTTTGCTGAATCTCCACCTGCTTCCCACCCACTCTGGGTTATTTTGGGGCAATAGTTACTTGAGCTCTCACAGTCATCTTCCCTGTGCTTCTCTGAAGCAAATCTCTGGAGCTGCATTGTCAGAACTCAGGTGATCTCGAGGGTAAGTAATGCCATGGACCTTAATGGTATCACTCCTGCCTTATACTGGCATAACACAAAGGAGTGTCAGGCTTCTTTGAAGGGGCACTGTGTGACAAGCCCAAACGTCCCTGGGGAGGAAGCTAGGCCCCACAGCTCAGCAGGA